CTGTACCTCCAATATAGTCATATTTGCACTTGATTATTGCACGGTAATCAGTTCATGAATAGTATTCCCAATGTAAGCGTAACGACTGGTAATAATATTAACTTTTACGTAATTTTTAGACAAATCTGTTTTTAATGGGAAAATATTATGCAGGGTGATTGACAAGTTACTAAAACACACACACACACACGCGCACACGCACATATATATATATATATATATATATATATGTGTGTGTGTGTGTGTGTGTGTGTGTGTGTCTGTAAATATTATTTATATAATTATTTATTTAAAAATATGTAGCGTTGGAATCATATTTTTAAATAAATAATTATATATATATATATATATATATATATATATATATATATATATATATATTAATTGTTTTAAAAATGCGATTCCAACGCTACATAAGAGGTCTCATGTTTCAAAACAAAAGCCGAAAACTTCAATATAATCATTTGAATTAAAGTACCAAGCTCTGTTCCATCTTCAAGCGAAATTATTTTTGAATAACTAATTCCTGAAATTTACGCGTTTTATAAGCATATTCATTATTAAAATTAAAATTACTATGGTAACAGCTAGAACAATTATTTAAAAAGAGGGGGCGTAAGGGTTAATAATTTGTATCAATATCTCAGTTACATTCAAAAAGGTCAAGTCAGGGTAAGGTTGAGGTGTCTAAATTCAAAGCGGAAGATGACATCGTCTCGTCTGGTTAAGTGTCTATGGAGATTTATTTATTTTTTTATTTTATTTTTTATTTTTTTCCTGAAAGGGTTTTATGCATATAAAAAAAAACTGTCATAATTCGCAAACTTTTGTTTTTTGACGACTTCATAAAGGATTTTTTGTTAAATAATAAGAAAAATACTAAAGAATTTTGGATTATTTACCTAACGAGTTCTTTCCTACACACACACACACGCGTGCGCACACACACACACATATATATATATATATATATATATATATGTGTGTGTGTGTGTGTGTGTGTGTGTGTATGTATACAGTAATATAAGTAATTGCCTATTTTGTGTAAGGGGAGCCAGCCAGAAAGGGGAGCAAATACATGAAGTTATAAAAGTTCCTGGTGAAATCAATTGACGCGATTCCTGGTCGACTCGAGAAGCTGGAAGCGAAATCTGTTGTCTATTCGAATTCTAAATAAAGCCTCATGCCAAACACTTTCCTCTCATATGCATTTCTTGAAAAATTATAACTAATAAATAAATTATAGATATTCTAAAATGGGGAGTTACTTTTCAATCACCCTGTAAATAAATTTCTATACATCAGAATATTGTTGGGATATATTGACTGATTTGCATTTTATGTTTTATCAACCTTTTGAAGGTTATTTAAGCAAGAAATATATTATATTGTAAGAATTTTCTTTTGAAGTAGTAACGATTTTCTGATATTTCATACTAATTAATCCATAGATGGAGGCGGCAGACGAGGTGGATCCATGATTTTTTCAAGCGTATCTCCGATTGGAAATGGGACTTTACAGTCTGATTTCCAAATCTAAGCCCTCATCAATAACATTATTCAAATTTCGGGCTTGTTAAATTAAATTTTTATACTAGACTATCTCATCTTCATCTCCAGGGCTGACTGGGTTTTGTTGCGTTGAGTACGGTAAGCCGTCAGGGAGAAGGAAAATTCTGAATTCCAAGCCAGCCTGAATAGGATTGGCTTCGCCATCTTATCTTGCTGAAGACCCACCACTCATGTTACGGTTTCAGTATTTGTGGTGCCTTTACGACCCTAATGTTTCATGGGACTTGTGAAGTGGGTGAAACAGTAATTCGCTTTGTAATGCGAATTGATTTCTTTGCAGATTTCAATCTCTTTTACGTCACATATACGTCCCAGGATGCTTCTAAAAATCGCGACGGTACATGAATATCTTAACTGTCCGAGACGTTTTTGTAAATGCAACCACACACGTACACACACGTACACACACGCTCACACACAGACACGTATTGGCAAATTGAATGTCAAAATAGAAAGTAGGTCTACGTAACGCGTTTCGTCCACTAAAAAAACATCATCAGACGAAATTAATGTTTTTTTTTTATTGATATATATATATATATATATATATATATATATATATATATATATATATATAAAGCTTAGTTTAAGACCAGTGAAAGTGCCTTGTTAAGGAATTTTTATTTATTATCGACATTTCGAGTAACTTTTATGGTTTCGATTACTTATTTAGAGCATTCAGAAATGGTGAATAATAAATTAAAAAACTCTTTAATAAATAACTTTTGATTTTCTTTAACCATGCTTATATATAATACTAATATTAATACTACTACTACTACTACTACTACTGATATATATATATATATATATATATATATATATATATATATATATATATATATATATATATATATATATAATATTATTATTATGGAAAAAAAACCAAAACGGTTGGTGGAACCAATGAACAATTTGTCAAAAGACTTAAATACCCTTTAAACAAGGCAACATCTTAAAAGTCAGCAAAAAAGAAAAAGAACTATTTAGTAAAGTCTCCTACGCCTACATTATCTAGACAGAACAAAAGCACTTGATAACGTTAATTCCTATGAATGAATGGCCCTAGTTGTAACCCGAGTTATACACTCACACGATCTTCAGACGAATTGATAACTTATATATATATATATATATATATATATATATATATAGAGAGAGATAGATAGATAGATAGATAGATAGATAGATAGATAGATAGATAGATAGATAGATAGATAGATAGATAGATATGTTTGTGTGTGTGTGTATGGAGTTAGTAAACATTTTTTTGTTGGCCCGGATCTTGGAGACATTAAATGCCTTTTTTGCATGTATGCATAAAAATGTAAACAGTAAATTATTAGCTAATATTGAACCCGGATTCACACACTCACATCCGTGCCAAAAAAATAAATCAAACTAAGAGTACTCCATATTTATGTTGTAAACTGCGAGCACATTTATATGCCAGCATTATCATAATTGGAGTTTGCCAGCTACGTCGTGCTTCGTTACATACAGGGTGATTGAAAAAATAACTCTCTTTTTTGTGTATGTGTGGCCAGCCAGGTGTCCTCACTTAACTCACGGTGACTTTTTTTTGGGCATTGGTTAAAGGTGCAAGTCTACTATACCAATCCAAGACATTAGAAAAACTTGAAGGGCGAATATTATAAGTTATGTCTTCCATACCATAAGATTCCCTGGTGAAATCAGTTGACGCAATTCCTGGGCAGCTTGTGAAACTGGTAGCGAAATCTGGTGCCAATATCGAATTTTAAATAAAACCTCATGCTAAACAGTTTCCGTTCTCACATCCATTCTTCGGTTATCCGAAAGTAACAATTCAAAGTAAATAGCACTGAAAAGTACTTTTGTGCGTTCACAGAGAACATGGCCCTAAAGGACCTAAATTTACAATTGATGTACAAATACACTGGCATATATTACACAATAGATTTATATATAGATTTACAAATAGAATAATATAGATTAACAAAAGATTTACAACACTGACAAACAGTACAAATTAAATCATAAACACCTGATGATTGGGTGTTTCTTACTAAGTTTACAGAGCCTCTTGATAGGCAACATTTTTGTTTCTTTCCGTGTAGGGTATAAATAAACAAATGATTGAGATTGCCGACTCTTGAACATCCCACGTAAAGTTGGTTATAAAAGAAAACCGGTTCTTCAAGGCTAAGGTCTACCACATCAAAAGATCACCCCTGAGCTTTGTTAATGCTGATTGCAAAACTGTTTCCCTGGGAATTGCAGCCGCTTGAACTGTAAAGCCATATACGAGGGAATAAGTGGCATTTTAGGAATAAATACAGACTCAATGTTGGATTTGCCAATCAGAAATGTTTCCTCCAAGACTGTTGGCATTATCTTCTTAATTGTAAGTCATGAGCCATTAAAAGCTTCTGTAAATCCAGGTTTCTTAGCAGCATCACTGGTGCTCCAATCTTGTGGTAAAAATTGGGAGACATGCTGGTGTTAGGCAATTCTAAAATTCAACTGGATAATTCACACCTTCATCGATGTTTAGTACAGAATTGTAGCTGTGACGCTCACCTGGCAACTGTTCCAGAAGGTTGATGTTTAAATCATCAACTGCCACATTCTTTGGAACTAAAATGGCACGGGTTTTCAGTTGTGATCTGTAAAATGATTCCTCAGGTTAGGAAACACCCTAGTCATTCATTACTTTAAATCAGATACCATATGTTCAAAAGGCAAACTGACCCGCCAAACAAAGTTCCATTATCGACATCCTATAGTTGCTTAGAAAAAGTACCAGCTTCCTCATCACCACTGAGCTGCATCCTCAGGTTGGTTGAGAGTCCGACACCGGTTGGAAGACTTTATACTGGCGTTTACTTCGTAAGCTTTTGTCTATTTCGGAATCACTGGAGGGGCTTGTCTGAGGTCTCCCACAAGCAAGACTGTTGCACCTCCCATGAGCCGTGTGTTATGTGAGATCGTGAAGTAGTGTTTCAAGTGCCTCGAAGGGACCCTTATGGAGTACTGTCACCTCATTCAAGATGATCAATTTGCAATGACTGAAGAGTTTGCCTTTTATAGAACCACGACTCATGTTGTAGGTTGTCTTCTTTTTCTTGTACAGATTCAAAGAGAGTTTGAAGCACGAATAAGCTGTGCGATCATTACTTAGCAGGGTTGCAGCTATTCCACTTGATTGCTAAAGCAATATGTTTCATTTGGCGCAGTTTAGCCAGAAGTAGGTTGATTATAAATGTTTTACCAGTTCCACCTGGGGAATCGGGGAAGAATAGGTTTCCCGTTTCACCATCAATGCTCGAAATAATTGTATTCTAAACACCCAGTTCGTCCTCCATCATGTTCGTTATTACATCGTCCTCCATCATGTTCGTTATTACATCGTCCTCCATCAGTTCGTTATTACATCGTCCTCCATCATGTTCGTTATTACATCGTCCTCAATCAGTTCGTTATTACATCGTCCTCTATCATGTTCGTTATTACATCGTCCTCCATCAGTTCGTTATTACATCGTCCTCCATCATGTTCGTTATTACATCGTCCTCCATCAGTTCGTTATTACATCGTCCTCCATCATGTTCGTTATTACATCGTCCTCCATCAGTTCGTTATTACATCGTCCTCCATCATGTTCGTTATTACATCGTCCTCCATCAGTTCGTTATTACATCGTTCTCAATCAGTTCGTTATTACATCGTCCTCCATCATGTTCGTTATTACATCGTCCTCAATCAGTTCGTTATTACATCGTCCTCCATCAGTTCGTTATTACATCGTCCTCCATCATGTTCGTTATTACATCGTCTCTCCATCAGTTCGTTATTACATCGTCCTCCATCATGTTCGTTATTACATCGTCCTCCATCAGTTCGTTATTACATCGTTCTCAATCAGTTCGTTATTACATCGTCCTCCATCATGTTCGTTATTACATCGTCCTCAATCAGTTCGTTATTACATCGTCCTCCATCAGTTCGTTATTACATCGTCCTCCATCATGTTCGTTATTACATCGTCCTCCATCAGTTCGTTATTACATCGTCCTCCATCATGTTCGTTATTACATCGTCCTCCATCAGTTCGTTATTACATCGTCCTCCATCATGTTCGTTATTACATCGTCCTCCATCATGTTCGTTATTACATCGTCCTCCATCAGTTCGTTATTACATCGTTCTCCATCAGTTCGTTATTACATCGTCCTCCATCATGTTCGTTATTACATCGTCCTCCATCAGTTCGTTATTACATCGTTTCGTTCGTTTACATCGTCCTCCATCATGTTCGTTATTACATCGTCCTCAATCAGTTCGTTATTACATCGTCCTCCATCAGTTCGTTATTACATCGTCCTCCATCATGTTCGTTATTACATCGTCCTCCATCAGTTCGTTATTACATCGTCCTCCATCATGTTCGTTATTACAGTTCGTCCTCCATCATGTTCGTTATTACATCGTCCTCCATCATGTTCGTTATTACATCGTCCTCCATCAGTTCGTTATTACATCGTCCTCAATCAGTTCGTTATTACATCGTCCTCCATCATGTTCGTTATTACATCGTCCTCCATCAGTTCGTTATTACATCGTCCTCGATCATGTTCGTTACATCGTCCTCGATCATGTTCGTTATTACATCGTCCTCCATCAGTTCGTTATTACATCGTCCTCGATCATGTTCGTTATTACATCGTCCTCCATCATGTTCGTTATTACATCGTCCTCCATCATGTTCGTTATTACATCGTCCTCCATCAGTTCGTTATTACATCGTCCTCCATCAGTTCGTTATTACATCGTCCTCCATCAGTTCGTTATTATCGTCCTCCATCCATCGTTATTACATCGTCCTCGATCATGTTCGTTATTACATCGTCCTCCATCAGTTCGTTATTACAACGTCCTCAATCAGTTCGTTATTACATCGTCCTCCATCATGTTCGTTATTACATCGTCCTCCATCATGTTCGTTATTACATCGTCCTCCATCATGTTCGTTATTACATCGTCCTCCATCAGTTCGTTATTACAACGTCCTCAATCAGTTCGTTATTACATCGTCCTCCATCATGTTCGTTATTACATCGTCCTCCATCAGTTCGTTATTACATCGTCCTCGATCATGTTCGTTATTACATCGTCCTCCATCATGTTCGTTATTACATCGTCCTCCATCAGTTCGTTATTACAACGTCCTCAATCAGTTCGTTATTACATCGTCCTCCATCATGTTCGTTATTACATCGTCCTCGATCATGTTCGTTATTACATCGTCCTCCATCATGTTCGTTATTACATCGTCCTCCATCAGTTCGTTATTACAACGTCCTCAATCAGTTCGTTATTACATCGTCCTCCATCATGTTCCATCGTCCTCCATCAGTTCGTTATTACATCGTCCTCGATCATGTTCGTTATTACATCGTCCTCCATCATGTTCGTTATTATCGTCCTCCATCAGTTCGTTATTACAACGTCCTCAATCAGTTCGTTATTACATCGTCCTCCATCATGTTCGTTATTACATCGTCCTCCATCAGTTCGTTATTACATCGTCCTCGATCATGTTCGTTATTACATCGTCCTCGATCATGTTCGTTATTACATCGTCCTCCATCAGTTCGTTATTACATCGTCCTCGATCATGTTCGTTATTACATCGTCCTCCATCATGTTCGATCATGTTCGTTATTACATCGTCCTCCATCAGTTCGTTATTACATCGTCCTCCATCAGTTCGTTATTACATCGTCCTCCATCATGTTCGTTATTACATCGTCCTCCATCAGTTCGTTATTACATCGTCCTCCATCATGTTCGTTATTACATCGTCCTCCATCATGTTCGTTATTACATCGTCCTCCATCAGTTCGTTATTACATCGTCCTCCATCATGTTCGTTATTACATCGTCCTCCATCAGTTCGTTATTACATCGTCCTCGATCATGTTCGTTATTACATCGTCCTCCATCATGTTCGTTATTACCAATATACGCCGTCATTTTCTCGGTGTCATAGTTGATTTCCCTCATTTACTCAATTGCCAGATTGTTTGCTCTTTGCTCAGGTTGAGATAGGCCAAATGTGGAAATTCCTTGGCCTCCCATACCTTTCAATCGCATGTTCAGGTCAACTAATGCCTCATTGTAAATGGTACCATTGATTGTAACAATTTCTGCTGAGGCTTGCCTTTGAATCCTTCGTAGGATGTCTTCTGTCTTGATGCTTTTGTGGGTCGCCCAAAGCGTGAGAGGCTCGCCCAAGCCATATGTCATTAACATGATAGAACATAGCTGGCACAGTTGAGTTGGTGCTCTGCTGACTGCTGCATCCAGCAGTGTCTGGTCCCAGTGGGCATCGTCCTCCAGTTGTCCATGTTTGACGCAGGCTTCTCTGTAGGTCGTACCGACTTCTCCATTATATCTTCACAGGTCTAACAGTGTAGAGCAGCAGGCGTAGAAAGAAGCACCCCTGCTGATTTGGGTGCACAGTGTACATCCGCTGGATGGTCTTGCTTCTGCATTTTCTTCTCAGCCCTCAACTTGTGCTCCTTGTTTGCGTCTGCTCTATTTATTGTGTGCCCAGGTGTAGCAGACGGGGACTTCAATATACAGCAGCGTTCGGGCAAACATGTCACTTTGGCAAAATTTGAAGAAACCTGACAAAGTGGTTTCTGGCGCATTCTCAACTACGTTTCAAGCGCTATCTTCTGTGAAATATACACACTAATCATTTTCAAAATGAACAACCAGATTAATCACTGTTCGATGCCGTTCGTGGATTTCGAAGCCCAGGATGCGCCACATTTGCTCGTTAGGGGAAATATATCTGCCCAGCTGACAGATTATATATTGAATATTGGTAGGACTATATATGTGCACGGCAGATAGCTGCTGGGAATTTTAGAAGGATTTTTATTTTTTTATCTGCTGAATTTATTTAGAGTTTTTTTTCTTTCGATCACTTTTGTAGACACAACACATGCCATTACATCTAGACATTGGTTCTGTTGAAACACTTCAGTCTATCGCGTGGTATGACGTCATAGGACCGCATCTTGAACTTACGATCTGAGACTGCTATTCTGCGACCGTTAACGTCGCATAGCAATCTTTTATGTCAAAATAACAAAATATCATCTTTGACGAGGGATATATTTGTTTCATGTCTGTATAACCAATCTGAGGCTGGAACATGTGAGCCGAAAGCTTAGGACCAACTTATTAAAAATAATCCAAATATTGAACAATAGATATTCATTGTCTGTTATATTTAATAATAATAATAATAATAATAATAATAATAATAATAATATATATATATGTGTGTGTATGTGTGTATTAATTTATTTTAAAAAAACAGAAAAATTTAGGGGTCCATTGATTATATTTTATTTCCCCAGGAATGTGATTTTCCTGGTTCCTCCGATCACATTTTTCAAGCATATATATATATATATATATATATATATATATATATATATATATATATATATATATATTAAACGTTTTTTAATGGATATCCGTATTTAAGTAGGTGCTCTGTTTTTATATATTTATTACACAGTATATTTATTTCTATCGACCGACCTAAATACTCGAGAAATCTTAGAAAAATAAGCCGAAGAGGACATAATTTTCTAATAAGATTTCTCAAATATTCAGATGAAAAGGAATAAATATATACTGTTTAATAAGTGAATAAAAAACAGACCATCTACTAAACAGTAAAGCTACATTACGGCGATGTGAGAGTGAAGTGACTGAGGCCGCAACGCGAGGTCAAGACGAATAATATTGAAATATATAGGAGAAACGAACAATAAATATATAGAAAAGTAATTATATAGAAAGAGAAAAAGATATACCGAGAAAAGGGGACTATAGCTATCTGTGAGTAGATATAAAGAGAAAAAAGAGATCTAAATAGACAGAAGACATGAAAGAGCACAATGATATATAAATAACGAGAAAAGCAAATATAAATAAAATTGTAAAGCTATATAAATAAACAGAAAAGGAGATATAAAGATAAACAGAAATATAAATAATGTCAAACAAGATATAAATAAGCCGAGAAGAGAAAATGATCAGTAAATAACAATAAAAAGCGTAATAATTAAACAGAAAAAAAAGATATATAAATAATGGGAAATTGTGATAGGAATGAAGATGATAGACATTAATAAACAAGCAAAAAATAGATTTAAAGCGAAAACAGATATGAAGGGGAAGGGATATATAAAGAAACAGAAAAAAAAAAGAAGAAATAATGACTGATAGAAATAGAGATAGAAATAAATAATGGAAAAATCTGATAAAATTAATGAGCAAAAGAGATATGAATAAACGTAAAAACATTTACAAAGAGACAGAAAATAGATATATGGAAAAACATATAAATAAAGAAAAAAAGAGATATAAAGAAAAACGCATATAAATAAAGAAAAGTGGAGATATATAGATATAAAGAATAATGGTGACAAAAAATAACGAGAATATATATATATATACATATATATACATATATTTTTATATATATATATATATATATATTTATATATATATATATATATATATATATATATATATATATATATATATATATATATATAGTATGAAGAAATGAAGAAATACCAAAAGATAATCTTGAACTGAAGAAAAGCGCATGTCTGATTCCATTTTTAATATTGGTTCGTGTAAGCCAATGGTAAATATTTTTTTTTCTTTATACGATAAAGTTCGAGGAAAAATGTTAAAATATAAAATATTCCCGACAGCCAAATTATGAATATATTCATGACATTAAAAAGATATCAACACTTTTTCATTTTCTTTCATTTTTTTTCTTTTCTGCGCTAAATGATAATGGAAAATAAAATATATGTTTAGCGTTAATTTTGTTTTTAATATTCTTGGAGTTTGGTTCCAACAAAGACAGCGAGTTATTTTTTAAAATTTCAACTTCAGTCTATCGAATTACGGAGGTGTTTGTAGTGTGAGACACGAGGTAAGAATAATTTAGCAGAATTTAAAAGGGAATATACGGCCAAAGAATCTCGACTACAACAAAATGACCAGGAAGAAAAAAAAACGTTAATTTAATTAAGGAGCCTTATAATTGCACACAGACTTACACACATGAACACAAAAACATATGCACACAAATACACGCATCTCTATTACTCTATTCAAAAGAAGCTAGATATATAGTGAACGACGAAAATATTCGTACACCCATCAATTTTGAATATTTTTATCCATTTTTCAAAAACTAATGCCCGTATGATGCCAGCATATTCGATATGTTAATAATCACAGAAAAAGGAATATAAATCTCAAATTTTTAGAACAATAGGTTAAATACAACAAATTTGACAGGCAAATTATACAAAATAGGAAAAGACAAAATTATTCGTACAGTATGAAAAATAGAAAAAAATTGAGCAATTTTCACACTATTAATAGTCAATATCATGGGCTCTCATATTTATAACTTATCTTTTTCTAAAGTTTTTGATGAGATTTGGACAAGTATCTTCTGCGATTTTCTTCCGTTATACATGGTTACACGTTTTAATTCCTGAAGGTCTTTTGGTGACCAACGATTTATTCGAATTTTCAATTCTTGCCATAGATTTTCAATAGGATTCAAGTCAGGACTCATTGAAAGCCATGGCAGAACTGTAACTGAGGCCACGCAGTAACAGATTTAGACGTATGTTTGGAATTATTATCTTGCTGGAAAGTAAATCGCCGATCTAGATGAGGATTTTGCGCTGATAATTGTAGATTTTCATCCTGAATTTTGATATAGTCAGCATATTTCATTATTCCTCTTGTTGCAATCAATTGTCCAATCCCTCTTGCGCTAAAACAACCCAAAAAATCATCAAGCCGCCTGCATGTTTTAATGTTGCCACTGTGTTCTTTGGGAGGAAAGCCTTAACCTTTTTGCGCCAAATCTTCTGTGCATTATTTTGTATAAAAAGCTCAATTTTTGTTTGATCACACCATAATACTTGTTCCCAAAAGCAATTTTCTTTGTTCATTTTGAACAAAGAACATTTTGTTTTATCAAAATTAAACCGAGCAACAATGTGACATGGTTTGTGAAGAAGGATTCGTTGTAGTCGTTTTCCATACAACCTATTTCTATTTAAACAACATTGTATAGTGTGAGTACTTATAGTGATACCAATTGTAACCAAACATTTGGTGATGTCTTTCAAAGTAACTCTTGGGTTTATATTAATCTCGCGACATAGTTTTCGCGTAGTTCTCGGTGACAATTTGGGTTTTCTTCCACGCCCAAGCAAATTCCCTGTCGGGCCAAACTGATTAAACTTCTTTAAACGGACTGTACCATAGATCTAGGGATAGCTAACCGGTTTGAAATAGTGTTGTAACTATTTCCCGACTTGAGGAAGTTAATAATTCTCTCTTTTAAGTCAACACTAAGATCCTTTGTCTTCCCCATCGTGTTGTTAAAGGCAAGAATAACAATGGTGACACTCTGTGCACAACATGATGTTCTTTGCTGGAATTATCACAAATATTTTACTGAATAAATAGTCTAGAAGGCTTCACCGATAAAATAATTACGTTAATTACTTATACTTATACGAATCAATCAATTTAAAACAATATTTTCTACTGCACGAATAATTTTGTCTTTTCCTATTTTGCATAATTCGCCTGTCAAATTTGTCGTATTTAACCTATTGTTTTAAAACTTTGGTTTTATATTCTTTTTTGTGTGCGTAATAACAAATTAGAAAAAACTATGATCATACGGGCACTAGATTCTGAGAAATGGATAAAAATATTCAAAATTGATTGGTGTACGAACAATTTCGTCGTTGACTGTATGTATGCTCACATCTCTATATTTATCTGTGTCATTTGCATATCTAATATTAAGATTGTGGTCGCCAATAATAAATCTCTCGCTGTAAATGTTGAATAAGTCTGTTAAAAAAATATTCAGACTCGCAATCCTGAAATTTTTTCGTCGCAAATT